CCTGCCTTACAGTCAAACACGTTAAACGGCAGGTGCCGCATGATGTTGAAGGGTCATTTTTGCTCATTAGGTGATCGTGAGTATGCTAATTTATATTGTTAGGGGCCATGGTTGGRGGATTGTCCCATCCATGCYCCATTTTTCAACTTGTAAATTGTTTTTGTGAGGGATTGCAGTTGGGGAATTGTCCTTTCCGCTCCCCAAACATTGTTGTAATCATTTTTTATTAAATAAATGATGGCGACTCACTACCTRAAGCATTGCTTAACGGCARTTCCAGGTGGCRAGTGTATTGCCGAAAAAAAAAAGTGATCGTGAGTAATTTGCGTGTTCCCGATTCGAAGACTTATTAKGATTACTTCAAATTTTCTAGGAAGATATGTGGGATGTAGTCATACGAATAAATCTTTTTTRATTTCATTAAAATTCATGCAAAAGAWTTTCCAGTTTCTCCACCACATATGAGTACAATAAAATTGTATTAAGGATATTTCATCTGGTTTAGTAACTTTCGTTTGGAGTTGAACTATTTTATTTTTTGCTACCTTATCAGCCATCCCATTTCCTATGATATTAGAATGACCTGGTATCCAGCATATCTGAATGATGTTCCCTTCCTTTTCTCTTCCGTGTCGTAACAAATATTTTACCTGTAATATTTCAACTCTCAATATATAATATAATAAAATTAACGTGCAAACTAAAATATGAAATCATATTATTATTGTTATGTATGGTTTTTCAGGTGTTATCACGTTTCACAGTTTCATAAAAAATAAATAAATTTACATACATTTGTTACAATTGTTGTTAACAACTGGCAACACACTCATTCTTATACTAAATTGATGAGGTGCTGGTTTAAGCCATAAGTTTTAACCATTATTTATTTTTTCTGTTATTTATTTCTAGCACACAGTSTTTACAATAATACCAATATTCTATCATCGATTTGTTGCGTTAAATCATGGATAAAATATTCTATTATTTACCACTTTAAGATTACCAAAATTAGATCCATTCACAATAAAAACTATAWACCTAATAAAATCGTTAATCTTATACACAAAACCGTTTTCAATTTAAATTCATCGAGTAAATAAACAAGTAGCCTTAGACTTTTATTTATTTATTTTTTTTTTTTTTGAAACCTGTAGTTATTGTGGAATATTTAATTTAACGTACATAATGTATATCATAGACTTAGCTGATTACCTGAATGACCCAAAATCCTTCAGGAAATAGAATACCTCCTACTTTAATAAGAAAGGAAAATCTTAAATTGTATTCACATTATGTTCAACGTTAATACTAAATAGCATTATCCAGAACTAAATACAATTATCATTGACGTATGTGAAATCTAGGTCAAGAATAATATTCTTATCTGAGAAAACTTAATACCATTTTTTTTTTWATCATAYAATCGATTATGATATCGGACAAAGGAATTTATATTCTCTCGATCGTTAGCAAAACATTGATATTCAACTATTAGCTATCATTATGTACTATTATCACACATTATAAAATATTTTGAAATAGGTACTTATACGATGATAAAAAAAAAA